AAACTCTGTCCCTGAGCCAATTCCCCACCCATAAAATTTGGGACCTATAGCATCCAATGTTTTGATTAGGGAAATAATATATTTCCTTAAATTAAAACACTCAGCAACATATTTGAAAAGAATTCCTCAGAAAGAGCAATATTCCTCTGAAAATAATATGTTGTGGCAATTGGTCGAATCCCCAGGATTGGAGTGTTTAAAACTAGATAGATCAACGTAGTAGAAAACACAGCAAATTATCTTATTATGACCTTTTAGGACCTGAAGGGGACCTACAAGAAATATGGAGAGGAATTGTTTACAAGGACATGTAGTGATAGGACAAGGGGGAATGGCTTTAAACTGAAAAAGAGTATTTTAGATTGGATATTAGGAAGAAGTTCTTTACTGTGAGGTGGTGAGGCACTGGAACAAGTTGTCCCAGAGAAGATGTGGCTGCCCCATCCCTGGAAGTGTTTAAGGCCAGGTTGGATGGGGCTTGGAGCAACCTGGTCTAGTGGAAGATGTCCCTGCCCATGGCAGGGGGGTGTGACTAGATAATTTTTAAGGTCCCTTCCAAACCGTTCTGTCATTCTCTGCTCTTGATGAACAGAGGCGAGGTATCTGCTGACCTTTTCCTTCTCTTAATGCTGTATTTCAGAATGTGGCTGCTTGTACACACAGTAACTTTTTCTTTTCATCAGCCCTCGGTTTTCTGGCCACACAAGAGAGTGCTTGTGTGAAAATCCCAGGAGAAGGAGTCTCCACCAAGTACAAATAACGATACTGTCAGCAGCACCAGCATGTGCCTTTTCACACTGTCCTGCTGGTTGCTTGTACTGACTCTGATGGATCTCCTCTGCCCATGAGAGCACACTTGATTTTCCTTTACCTTGTTCCTGCTGGGGGAAGGAGAGGGGGGAAGGTGCCAGGCAGTGGAGGAGAGGTTTTGTTGTGAGATTGGTACCATTAATTCATTGCAAATGGGTATTGCAGGTCTTGGTTTGGGAACTGGTATAAATTATTTCTAGCATGACGTTGATTCAGACAGATGAGCAGTAGGAGCTGGTAGCTAGCATTGCTTTTAAAGCAGACACAGAGGGATTATATAAGGACTTGAAAACCTGTAATGTCAGAGGAATGCTGTTCCGAAAGCTGCCTTGCAGATTTATAGCCTAGAACCAACTTCTGCAGGTGCCTTCACGGAGTGTCACAGCGATGGTGACACTTTGCTCTCCAGATCAAGTCCTGGCTAACGTGGAGTCCATGTGGTGATGTCCCAGTTGGACCCCGGAGTGGGTGGCAGAGCAGGGCTTGCGATTGGAAAATTACATCTCTGCCTGTGCTGCTCAGCTGCCCAGCACGAGTTACTATAGAATTTTATCTTTTGGATAAATATCCATATCTCAAAGCTGACTGCTACCCCTTGAGTGACTGAAAGTCCCCAGAGGTCCCTATAACAACTCTTTTCCTCTCTTCCAGAGTATCCCAGCTCATTTCTCTTGTGCGTTTTTAGGTGCAGGGCTCCTGAGTATGAGGTGTGTTAACACTTTGATTGAATCCCTCTTTCTTCCCCTCTTGTCCACATACATCACTTCTGCTGACTGAGTTGCTTTAACTTCTCTGCTTGATTGAATGGAGCAGGCCAAGTGCCAACTCTTTCCTGCCAGGATTTCTGTGCTTAATACTGAGATAAGACTAAAATCCTAGGTACTTTTTTCTGGTGCTTTTAATAATAAATAACTTTTCTTGACATCTTGCTTCAAATCATGCCATGCTTTGTGTCAGATGCACTCCTCTCTGGAGAATTTAAGGAGGGCATTTCAAAGGAACCAGATGTTTAATCTTTCTTGTGGAGTTGGCTGCCACACAGGAGCTAACTGGAAATTGTGAGGTGTTTTACACTTGAGAAAGGCTTTCCATTTCACGGTCTTTCTAAATCAAGAGAAAGCTGTGTATTGGCTGAGCATCATATAAACCAGAAAAAGAACAGACTTGCTGCATGCCATCTCTCTGTTTACTCTTTGCAAAGATGGGCCTTTCCTGGCAAAATGTCCTCAAGACGTTTATGGAGTCCACAGAGAAAAATGGTCCCTTGAAATGGAAAAGTTCAAGGTTATATGCTGTAGACATCCTGTGTTGCACGAAGTTGCTTCCAGGGTTTTAAACTGATCTAGTTGCTGAAGTGAAGACAAGCACAAGCACCTCTTAGGATTTTTGAAAGTACCAAAGGGTGTGCTAATCACGTATGTTAAGCACATGCCTGCTTTTGGGAATCTGTCCTCACAGCCATCTGTGTTTTAAGGCACCAAATGACTACTTGATAGTCTTCTTACTTCCTCAGCTATCCCGAAGAGATGAGAGCACAGCCCTACTCCAGTAAGGTGACAATAAATAGTCTCTATGAATGCTTCCCCCTTAACACTTCTCCATTTCTACTCTTCCTTGGGATGCTGTTGACCAATTGCTGACTGATTTAGCAATGTTTCGCTTTACCTGACTCATCCCCTAGTCCCGTAGCATTTGAATGGTTGTGGCACAGATGCCAAGGTGGAAAAGCCATAGCTCAATTCCCTGGGTGTGCTTAGATGGTGTTAAATGTAGAAAAGATGATGTTTCTTCCTCCTACTTGTCTCAAATGTTTAAGTGTCTGGTGGTGTCACATTTTCTAAGAAAGATGCAGGCCCACCCAGCCTGTGTTGTGCCCTGGAGATGGTCATGAGTGCTGGGAGGTGAAAGTAGATGTTTATGAAGAAAAGTAAGACTGAAATGTGAAAGACTAGTCAAAACCTGCTAAAAAATTGTCTTTGTGTCCCTTTTGCTTCATTTTCTTCATTGGATGTCTATCAATGTGTTACTGGGATGCAGTTTGGATGAAACCTGTGTAAAGGAAAAATGCCTTTCAGGTCCTCAGTCTGAGATATAGTAATAGGGCAATTTATTTTTGGAGAGTGCTGAGCTCTATACCCTCTGGGTCCCTTTGGGTGTCTTGAATTAGGCAGTCAGAACTGCAGTTCTTCCTGCCTATGGTTTGCTGGATAATCTCTGTTCTACTCACCTCCTCCCCAGACTTTCTGATATTTCCCTGGCACAGGTATCCTCCTGACTCCTGTCTAGTTCCTACCAAGGGTTGTGTTTCTTTTTCTACCTTCCAACAGTTGCCAGTTCAGGATTCACTAGAAACCGCTGTGCCAGCTCTTTGATATTCAGAAGCTGTGGGGTTTTCTTTCTGTTTCCTGACCTAGCATGACTCTACTAATAATGCAAAAACTTCAAGGCTGATGTCCTGGCAGCCTAAATCAGGAGGTCAGTCTGTAAATCTAGTTACAGTTTTCTTTGCCTCAGTAAAGGCAGTAAGTCGAACATAGTGTAAACAAGGTGGTTGGATCACTTCACCCACCAGTAGTAATGTGGTGGGTGATGCAGGCAAATTTAATGGACGTGATTAAATCTCCTGTTCCAGTCTGGCAGCTGATTAGCTGCAGGGGGCAGGCAGGAATTTCCTTTCTGCTCTGGAGTTGCACTCTTTCCAAACCCTCCTTCATGCTTCTGCCAAGCATCTCAAAGTGCTTTGCATTTTTAATTATGCTTCTTAACGCCTCCGTGAAGAGTGGAGATGAGAGATAGTATGATCCCAAATGGAGCCATGGGACAACTGAGGCACTGGGAGGTGGCAGCCTGCTTGGAATGAGAGAGGTTGGTGCCATTAGACTTGGAGAAAGGGGAGATGAGCATCCCAGAAACCTTCTCTTGGGGTTCATGTTGGTCTACTGAAATTGCGCCTGGTTCTTAACAGTCTGTGTCTTTAACACACTTAAGTCTTGGTTGTCTGCTTTATGTATATATTAGTATATAGTCACTGATGGGGAAATAAATCTTTCTCCTCTGGAAGTTTTAATTTATTTTTGTCTTTCATCACTCTCTTCCTCTGATTTCTGAACAGAATGGCCGGTATACATGCTTCTTCTCTTTGTATGGAGAAGCACTTTGCTCTGAAATAGCCTGAGGTATTGGCTGTGGCTGAGGCAGAGAACTGGTTCAGCTCTGTAAATGACTCTGTGCTTTGTCCCTATGGGGGAAATTAGTGAATTTACTGTGTGGGTTCACCTTCAGAGGGTGTACCTGGAGGTACACTGGCTTTGATTTCTTTACCTGAGATGTACAGCTGAAGAACTGGTCTTGCAACATCGAGGAGGAGAAAATACTCTTATTGAGACGTGCTTTGGTCCAAAGAGGAGACCAGAGATGTCCAAAAAAACTGTCACATATTAACTTACCATCTTGCCCGCATATTGCTAATGCCGTGGCTGACAAAACGCTGAGAGCAGTAGTGATTAGCTGAGTCTTCACCCTCCTCAGAGTGGTGGGAGTGGGCCTTTTGCAGCTTACTTACAGCCCTAAAGCCCAATGGGGAACAGTGTATTTTGGATCTCATGGGGTGGGTCAGCGTTTCTTATAGGTGGGATTTTTTACTTTTGTGGTGGATGATTTAAGCTTTATGATTTCATGTGAACAGCATCCTCTAGAGTCTGGTTTTGTGAATCTGGAGTGGACAGAAATCTTTGATGTTGAGGCTTGAGCCAGCAACTTCATGGCTGGAGAGAGGCAGTGTTTCAGGCATAGCCTATAGCTCCCACTGCTATAGGGCATCCTGCCCAGCACCCTGTCATGGTAGGAATAGAGGTGTCTTCCTGAAGTGCTCTGAAGCTTAGGGCTGAGGCCAAAGTCTGTCTTACTAGGCATTTAAGTTTCTAAGATGTGTGACTAAATAAAATGTCTGAATCTGATCCTTAGCCTAGTCTCAAGGCTTAATTGTAAATAAGCAATATCTTAATCACTTTGAATGTCTCTGTGCTGGCGCTTGGAGAGCATTCATCATAGTGGAAGATGAATGTCTGTTTGGGCTGCACATGGTGTAATTAAGTATCAGCCTAGCCTGTAGCATAATGTGACAATTCTCGTTGTGACCAGCTGAAATAACTCACTCTAACAACTGTGCTCTTTTTATTCCTCTATTTCAGTTCCCAAGAAGCTTCTGCATGAAACTCAGCCAAGACCAACCAATTATCAAGGATATCAGAAGCCACATTTTCCACTGCAGCCAAGAGTGTTTGATCTCAATGTTATAGGGGACGGAGTGTTCCTTTCTGATGTCTCTCCTTCCAGTATAGGACGAGCTCTCCCAGGTAGCTGTGACTATTGTGATGTTGCCCCAAACCTAACTGTGTTGTGATAACTGTTCCTTTCTATCTCCTCATTTCTGTCTCCTGGATTTCTCTATTGTGCCTAAACCCCATCCATGTCACAGTCAGAAAGGAAGCTTTGAGCTGTGATCAGTGACGGGCTAAAGTGAACTGTGAAACTGTTCAAGAAACACTGAGTTTCCTGAAATAGCAGTCGTGGCCATGCATGTCAAAACTCATCACAGAAATACTTTGCAGACCTGTCTAATACAGTGGCAAAGGAAAAAAAACAACACAGGGCAGAGACAGTAGATCTGCCTCACAGGGGATGGAGAAGTTTTGAACTGAGCTTTGAAATATGATGCTATTTTCATAAAATGCAAAGTGAAGAGATGTGAATGAAGTCTGAAGTATCTATAGGGATAGGTGAGTAGAAGGAAGAGGTGCTGTATGAATAAGGGAAAAGCATAGGTGAGCATGTATTGGGTTACTTGGTGGGTTTGCATTGTTTCCCAACATGCAATGGATAGTATATGACACTACTGAAATTTCCAGCCTGTGCTCCCAGAGGTTCAGCTCTAGGGTGGGTATGGGCTAAGCTGCCTTGTCTCTGTCTACACTCCTGACAATGTTAATCTGCAGCTTGGATAGTCAATCCACAAATAATTAAGAACTGACAATAACAAATTTGTCCCTTTGGAGGCCTTACTGAAAAATCGCCAAGGAAAAGAATTTTGAGTTAGCACCAAATAAATATTGTGATCCTGGAGATACTTTTAAACAAGAAAAAAGATATCCTGAACTCATTTTCATTCATCTAAACATTTCACTTCAATAAGTGACACCTTTTATTTAGTTTTCACATTGTTTATTCATTCATTTTCAAAATATACACTACTTTTCAAACAAAGATGTCATTTTGAAATTAAAAGCTAAAAAAATGTTTGAAAAATAACAAAGCAAATACTTGGACATTTTCTGTTTTGTTTCTCTTATTAAAACTATTTGCTAAAGTCAGCCTGGTATCATGAATAACCTCTCCTGTGTTTATACTGTGGTGTTGGGCAAATTATTGCTGGCTGAAATAATTTTACTCAGCTTTGGTGTAAATGCATGGAGCAACCATTCAAGTGACTGGGAACAGCTAAGAAGGGTGAGGAGAAAACCAATAGTAGTGAGCTGATTAGGCATAGACAAGTTTTCCAAGCTAGCAAGGAAGAGAGGGGATGTATTCTATTATGGTCCTGGAGTGACTTGTGGGGCCAGGGAACCACATAGTGTAGCAACACATGGCCCTTGTGAAATTGTGTGTGTTTGTTTTTTTCCTTCTGCATAAGTCCAGTTATTTTCTGTCTTCCATGTCTGTGCTTGTACAATCCTGCCAATGATAAAACCAGTTCTGTGGTTTTGTGGTATTCTTTGCTGGAGTTTAGTGTATGCAGATGAGTATTCATTTAAAAACTGGTTTGATTGCATCTCTTCTTTGGATAAGTTAGAAGTTAAAAAAAAAAAGGTTCTTCTATGTCTCACTTGAAAAGTGTCTTAAATACACTGTTATTGCACAGTGTGGTTTACAAGGGATGCATCATACCCAGCAGAGGTGTCCATCTGACATATGGCTATGAAATATATATGTGATTATGTCCTGGAGGTGCCCTTCATTTATTGTGAAGGGATTTTGAATTAACCAGTTCAGAGCCAGACCTCAGTAAGGACGCATCTCAGGCAAGATCAGTTATCCCCATATAAATGTGTAATTTGTGATGACCTGGGGTGTTTACCTGGCTTCTGGAAGGGTGAGAGTTTCCCCTACATCTTACCTGTCATCTCTACATGGATGACCTCCATGGGGTGTCTTAGATGGCTGTGTATGAGCAAATACATCAAGCTTTAAGTGTCTGCTACAGGGAGAGCTGAATGGCTTTCGGATATCCCTCAACTAATAGCAGGATTCCATTGCCTAAGTTTAGATGCATGGTGCTACTTGAGTTGCTCTGAAGTATCCAGGTTTTAGGTTCAGTTTTTAGAAATCCTTGCTTCTGTGGATTTCTTTGGAACAGTGGTAGGGAAAAATTCAACCACTGGTACAGACAGATTTACCGGACAGGGAGAATAAAGGAAAGATTAGGGAGCACATTAGTGCCTACATCTGAATTGAAAGATTTTTTTAAGACTTTGCTATTGGTTTCCTGCTGAATGTGCCCTTGACCTTCTGCATCCCATTGCCTCCATTTGCACAAGTGATCCACAGTGATCTCTAGTCTCCTAAAGCAACAGGTTCTTGGAATATTTTATCCGTTGGGATATGAGCCACCCATGTTTAAAAACTTTGCTTGAAGGCCAGTCATTAACACCTTGGTGGCCTTTAACATGTAGGTTTCCCAAGGCCATGCAGCTATTCAGTGGCAGAGATGCAGCAGCACCTGCATTCCTTCAGGCTGATCCCTTACAGCGACACCTGGACAACCATCCCCATTGCTTCTCCTCTGAGGCAGATGAGGAGTTGGCATCACAGCATGCACGTTCATGCACTCAGTCCCTCTCCATCCAGTATTACCTGTTCTGTTTGACACCCCTCACTTTCTGTTGCTGCTTCCTGGGCTGAGCCGCTTCCTGGCACCTGCAGCGGGAAGCTGAAGGTGACGTCTCACACTGCTGTTTGCAGGGAGAGGAGGCAGATCAGGCAACCAATGAACAAAGACCATCTCTCATCATGACTGCTGACAGAATGCCTTTGTATGTATGGCACTGGTGGCACCACTGGAGGTGGAGCTGGCAGTTTCCTGAATTTAATACCTGCAGATAAGTGGGAGCCTGGTGCAAGTCTGTGATTTTACAGAGCGATGCTTGCTTTTGTTCAGAACTAGACACCCAGGGAAGGGAGCCTGAAATTCTGTAATAACTGCAGTTAAACACTCATGTGGATAACAGAGCTGCATCCTTTGCACTGACTTTTTCCTGTGTTGAAAACAATTAGTGTTTTGTCAGCAGGGGGGTGTCTGCCTGCAGATCAAGGTGCAGGGAGCCCTCAACAGTGAGGTGATAAGATCTGAAAGGGTCTCTTTGAGCTCCTGGAATGAGCTGCCTCCTTAGCTTCAGTCTTCAACAAATAAAATCAAATCATTAACCCATGTTCACTCACCTCTCCAAAGGGGAAATGGTGTCTAGGTGAAATACAATATGAGCAGGCTTCTGAAGGAAGTCATAAACCAGGGTCTGCCCTTCCCCACAAAGGCTGGAGAGAAAGCCCGTCTGTTTGCCAGGTGTGGATGGGTCACTACAGTGCGGCACCGGCAGAGGGTTGCTGGCTCTGCCTGTGTTTCCCAGTCCTCCTTACAAGCTTAGCTGAACCCACTGTTGATAAAGGCTCCTTTGATTTACATAAGAGAAAAGAAACCTGATTATGTATTTGCTGTAGCATAGATGGGTGTGTCTAAGTGGTGACATGAGATGGGGGAGAGAAGATGATGCCTGGATGCAGGCAGAATATGTGCTCAGCTGAAGCTACTTGAGAAGGTTTAGCTACCCCCCAAAAAAGGGCAAATCTGTGTGGCTTGCTCTTGAGCAGCTCCAGATTTCTGAACACAGATGCTCACCTGGTGGGGCTAGGGCAGGGTAGGGCTGGGTCACGTTCGTCGTTCCTCATTCCATTTCTGTTTCAAAGCAGAGAAGAAGAAAGGGAGATCTGCCACTTTCTACCCTCTAGACAACACCCCTCTCCTGCTTCCTGTGGATGAGACACAACCGCCAGTGCTCTCCAGCAGCATGGAGCCTGTGGGCGTCAGCACGGAGATGGCCCTGCTCAGCAATATCCTGGCAGCCTATGCCTTCATCACAGGTAGGTCTTGTGGCTGCCATCTCTCTGGGCTCTTGCAAGCTTTTTGAAGACCCTCATTTTGAAGTCACCTGAGGCTAAATCTGCCTCTTTGAACTGCTTACGTATTTCATTCGTCTCTCTGCAAACTCTCCCTTGAAAGACCTGACCGGGGCAGCTCTAGCAGGCAGTATATAAACCAGAGTTTATTGTGCTCTGCTTTCCACTGGATTTGCTCTCATCTGCAGTTAAGTACAATGTAATCTTACATGTGGTATTATTCCTAATGCTTCATTTTCCTGGAGATCAAAGCCTGGCTCATTAGGGAGGCAAGCTTGTTGTCCCGTAATTTGGAAAATAAGCAGCACTCAGAACATTATGCTGCTTAAGAGAATTTGGCCTATCTTCAGTAGAAGTGTGAAGATGAAGTAACTTGAGAATCTACTTAATTGAATATTTAAATTTAGTTTAGAGTAAGATTTCCTTATCTTTCACCCACATATATCTTTCAAGTAACAGAGGAGCAGTCTTCTAAAAAGATTCACTTTAAAAGGTGAAAGAAAAGTGATAAAACCAGGGGGAATGACTTTAAACTGAAAGAGAGCGGGTTTATATTAGATATTAGGAAGAAATTGTTTACTGTGAGGTTGGTGAGGCACTGCCACAGGTTACCCAGAGAGGTCATGGCTGCCCCATCCCTGGTAGTGTTTAAGGCCAGGTTGGATGGGGCCGTGAGCAATCTGGTCTAGTGGAAGGTGTCTCTGCCCATGGAAGGGGATTGGAACAATATGAGCTTTAAGATTCCTTCCAACCCAAACCATTCTGTGATTCTATGAAATAAAGATTGTGTGCCCTACTGAGTGCTTGGGGTCAGTACCACTGGTAGTGACAGGACAGCAGAGGCAGGTGATAGACTGCAAATATTTCCCACAGCATGAGATGCCTTGTCAGCAGTAGGGATTGCCTACACTAGTTGCCTACATTAGTTGAAGGAACTAACCCAAAAAATGGAGGATAGAGGAGCACTGGCTGAATAGCATCAAATGCTCTAATTCAGCATATTTCAGGCCAATTTCTGCTGCTTTCCCAAAAGGAAGGCCCTGGTGACTGTGTAAATAGCCTCTCAAGGCAGAAAATACTATCTCTGGTCACTTTTTTCTTGGGTGTCTGTGTGCCATTCAGTCCTGCTAATTCATTAAATACTAGTGCATTCCTGGTGCCTTGCTCTCGATCTTGCTGAGATGCCACCATGCTGCTACAGACAAATGTTTGGATTTGAAGCAGCTAACCTGGGCTTCGCATTTTGGAATCACTGAGTAGTAAGTGTTTCTGCACATTACTTAGTGAAGTGTCATTCTAAAAGGACCATGAATGGTTATACAAAGTTCTGCTCTTCTGCACATCCAGTGGTGTCATCAGGATCCATCCTTTCATGACACCTGTAAGAATCCGGCACATTGAGTGGAATTAGTGGTGTTCACAGAAGATAGCTGAGTAGGGTGTATTTTTTCTTGTGTGGGTTTCTCTAAGGAAAAATTACAAAAAACAAGCCTTGAAGAAGTCTTCTGTCCTATGCACTTCTCCCTCCCTTACCTCCAGCTGCCACTTTTTGACATGAAAATACTTGCATTCCCAACCTTTCTATAAAACAGTAACAGGCAAGAGAAGGTTGTGGGATTTATGGTCAGGGTCAGTTGGGACTATGATTCAGAGCTGCTGACCATCCCCCGTGGACTTTGCTTTCATTGATCACAGCAGAAGTCTTTGACTCTGCGTTGGTTTTTTAGGGCACCTCCCCTTCCTGAGGTGTCAGTCTTGGAAGGAGCCTCTAGGTTTTACTGTAGCACAAACAACTTTAACTGTCTTATTGCTGGGGGATTTGCTTTGCTTGCTGTTGCTTGCCCTCTCATGATGTGGTCTCCTTGTACTGAGTTCACATTCACTGGATGTCACATAGATAAAGTGAGACCTCATGACTCAGTTCAAGACCTGGTTGCTTGTGTTTTCCAGTGTATCGTAGAATCACAGAACGTTTTGGGATCACAAAAGGAGGAACCTTAAAAATCATCTGGTTTCGATGTTCTTAACCATGGCTGTTAGATGGGTTTTAGACTCAGTGATATATATATTCAGTTTGTTACTTACTACAAAAATAATTGATGGACCTCCTCATGGATTGAAACAGCAGATGTCCTAAACCCTCTTTATCTGCTACATGTAATTTAGCCCTCTGCTTTTAGCAGAAATGATGGATTTGTCATGATTTTTGGCTCAAAACAGGAGCTTGCAGAAGAAAATTGTAAATAGGCAGGGGCAACATAGAAAAATGTTTTTTTTCTTGTGGCAGAGGGTCGTGGATACCCTCAGACACACTACAGGAAAAAGAAGCTATGAGCTTCACCTATTTCATAGGTGAAGTGAATGCTTGAAAAGATGATCCACTGTGCTACTTTTCCTGCCTCCTGGTGCTGGGCTGTCTCTTAGCCTGAGGAGAGTATCCACAAATGGTGGGATCACTTCTGTGCTCAGTGCTGTCCGTGTTTTCAGCACAAAATGGCAGTTCTGGGTGGGCAGCTGCAGATGAAGAGACTGCAGGCGCGGTCACTTCCACATGCAGAGTCTTGCGGTGCACAGAGGGGAGAAGTGCCAGTACTAGTGAAAGCCTCCGTGCTCATTTCCACCATTTTTTTGACTGATGTTCCCATATAAAAGTTGGGAACGTTCATATGGACAACTGAGTAGTAAAAATCACAGCACAGCAGGAAACAAAACTTCTTTACTGGAATCTTGATTTGCAGTTGTCATCATGGTTAGGTATCAAAACCAGTTAGGTGTTAATCTTATCCCAGCTTCCAGAATCTCTTTCTTCAGAAACAGGGAGAAAGTGTGAACAGTGTCAATTAGGAGCAAATTTAGTAGCTGATCAAACAGATGAACATTATTTAGAGTTCAGTCTTGCACAAGACTCAGACATACCCTTAATTTGAAAGCTGATTATAGAATTAGGTTTTTAACTGGATGCAATCTCTGCCTACAAACCTCAGACCTGTTATTTGTTGTGGACCTGTTCCAAAACTTGCCTGAGTGTTTGGAAAGACTTCACCAGTCTCAGTGACAGCTGGAACAGTCTTTGCAGTCACGGTCTATCAGCAAGAGCAGAACCATTCTTCATGCTTTTGTAAATATTAAACATTCAAATTGTATCAGAGCTCTTCCAGTGCCTCCTTCTTGGGCAAGGGACTTATTCCAGTTTTGTCATTGCACTCAGGATGAAGTGGTTGGAGGGAAAATTCCACAAATCCCTGTTTTATTCTTCTTCCATAAACAAAGCTTTGCTGCCAAGGTGTTAACAAGGGGCTTCTAAAATACAACCCAGGAGATATCATTCCAACTTTTAGACTGCTTGGCCTGAGCCTTATTAATAAGGGGCTCCTGGAGAGCTTCTTCTATTCTACAAGGGGATTTTAACAGCCTGTGGGGCTAACGGTAAGTTCCCAGGAAGATATTGCTCCTACTGTTTCTCTGGCCATGCTTAATGCTGTACCTTTTGCTGGGGGCCCTCTGAAATTTTCCTCCCAACTGAGGTTTCAGAATGCATGAAACCGTCACAGGAAGCCAGCAGCGTTAATGTCTTGATTGTTTTTTATTTATTGAAACAATTTATTATGATAGCAATAACAACCTTGGCCTGTGGCATTTCCTGGGGAATTGATGAGAGTCTGGGCTGATGCTCCCAGCAGATTGTTAGCCCTCAGGAAATAGGCTCTGTAATTGCTGTTGGTTTGGTTGGAAAAATAAAATAAAATGTGTTTCTAATTTTTGGCCAGTTTAAGTCCCTAGAAAATGGTGGCTTTTGTATAGAGGGTTATATAGAGCATATATATTTGTCTGCATGGATTAAATTCAGGCTTGAATCAGTGACATTTTCATCAATGCTTTCAACCAAGAAAGAAAAAGACAAGGAAGGGGAAAGGTAACCCCAGCTAAAGAAATTGATGGCAGCTGGGTCCTGCTAGAAGCTCTCAGCTGTCACCCACAGCAGTGGAAAAGCTACACTGGTTAAAATCTATGTGTTAATGAGTGTACACACACACACATCTGAATGAATTTCAGAATTATGTTAATTCCTGCTGCTGATGTCCATACACTTTTAAAGAACTTTTTTTCAAGTATAATGAGTGTTTTGAGGAGCCTCAGTGTTGATATGATGAATCTGACCCACTTTTGAGCTTTTGGAAGCTGCTGAGCATCCATTTGCTGAAGAGGGTGCCCCTCTTGGTCTTCGCAAGTAGAACATGCAATGGGGGAAGCTCTCAAAATCACTTATGGACCGTCAAACTGCTAAATCTAGGCTATTGCTGACTTGGCTACTTCAACTGAGAAAAAGCAGATTGAGCCCATGGTTTTTAGCTTAAGTTGCTCTTTCTGCTGTGAAAAAAAAAGAGATGCTGCTGCTGTGCAAGTGGAGTGTACGTATGATAAATGCCAAGACTGCAGTTGAATGTAAGGTTATAGCTTTGTGAGGAAATCCAGACAGTGTCTCAGATATTGACAGAGTAGCTGTAGGAGCTCATAAATGCCACTGGAGCCCAAAGATTCAATTACAACCATCGTGCTGCATGAAGGGCTGTAGTACAAGCACGAGCAGGGGATGAAAGATGGTTACTTAAGTAGCAATCGAAGTGCATTTTGTTCATGAGCTGGATACAGTAGCACGAAAAAAAAAGTGTGGAGGAGAAAGGAAAAGCAGGACACGGGCAAAACCGGGGGCACAGAAACCGCATGTGTCTGTGTCTCAGGCTCCAATCCATGTTTTTTTTATGAGTTGCTTTAAAGGAACAAACAGTGGAACTAATGCAACCAAATTAAGCCCATGTGTGTGCAGAACATGGTACTCAGGAAAGTGTGCCTGGTGTTCTGTCAACCAGGCAGAGCCAAGGCAGGGTGGACCCAGCGCCTTCCAGTACAAGCACATCAGTTGTGCTTGTTTGCTCTTCTCACACTCCCAAGCTCCAGATGTCCCCAGAGCCCTCCTTAGGACTACTTGCAAAAGGACCTTGGTGATTAGTGTCCTCAGCGTCCTCAGTTACATTGCACATGGAAGCAAAAGTGTCATCAGGAGTGATTCTGCTTTCCTTGGAGTTTTCAAATCTCTGAAATTTAAGCCACTTCTTCACTGTTCACACAAGACCAGATGGACAGCAGCAGCAGCTTTGCTACTGCACAAACAAGGCTGAAGTTTTAATTTGGGTCCTGTCCCCTGAGTTCAGGGTAACCATTAGCTTCATTGGAGCAAGGGTTTCACTTGCCAGGCTGCTGCAGGGGTCATTGGCACATCCTTCATGCCTGCTCTGGTATCTTCTCTTTTACCTTTGGATTTTGGCTGTCTCACTTTTGTCAAAATATCTTAGTTTAAAACCTTTGGCTTTGGTCTCACTTGGCTTTCCAACTAACTACTGCTGCTTTTAATAGAATGGTTTGGTTGGAAGGAACCTTAAAGATCATCTAGTTTCAACCTCCTCTTCATGAGCCCACTGGCACATTCAGTTTAGTGTCCAATTTTTTGTGTCACAGCAGAGTTTGCAGGAGGCTGATCCACCTCTTTCTCTTTTTGGGCTTGCTGAAGGTATCTGCTGCACTTTCCTCCTCCTTTTTTCTCCCTCTGTTCAGCCTGATTTTTTTCCCATGTCATCCACGTCAACCACTCTTGCATCAGTTTTATGTTTTATTAGCTAGTTTTCAGACTATCTTGACATCTTCCTTCACCTTGGCCTGTCAGTCACCTTTGAGATTCATTTGGGAGAGAAGTGAAGAGCACAAAGCTGTTTTGTCTCTGTAACTGTTCCGTGAGCACATCCAGATACCAAACTACACACTGCCTTGAACGGTACATGAAACAGTGTTTGGGTTCTGACCACAAAATTAGAGAATAATTTAGGTTGGAAGAGGCCTCTGGGAGTCTTCCGGTCCAACCTCCTGCTCAGAACATGACTAACTTCAGATTTAGAGCCAGCTTTGAAATTAGAGCAGGGTTTTGTCCTGTTGAGTTTTGAACATCTCCAAATAGTCTCCAAACTTTAAGGAGACCAGCTGGAAAGGGCAGCTTTTAAAAACACAGTGGGGGAAGTGAAAGTAGAGTGTAGTCTTTTAACTACAGAGATCTTTTGAGGCCAGATGTCAGCTCTCAGCTGATGGGAGCTGTTACAGATCCATCACTCAGTTCAAGGGAATAAAACTCATCTGAGGAACTGACTCCATCCTTCAACTCAGGACGCTCATCAGACACTGCAGAGTAGAGCTGGCCTTGGCACTTCTGCTGGGTTCACCTTTACCCATTTAGTGTGCCTATAAAAAAGGTGATTCAGCCCAGAGGAATTGCAGTTACAACATTTATGATAATTACACTTCCAAGTAGTCCCATGGAAAAAAAAAAAAGAAAAGAATGTGGTAAATAAACAAGATGGCCTAGTTTGAAAAGCATTGTGGATCCTTTGGAGTCCTGTTATATCACCTCAGAAATGTGGTTATGCAGGATTCATCCTGTTAGTGCACTGACTCCAGCTATGCCTGTGTAGCACAGGTATACCTTTTTGGTGGTCTGGGCGGGAAGCCAGCACACTTGCCTTAGATAAGCAAATGAAATCTATGAATAAATAATATGCATTTTTTTCATACTGCCAAGCCTCCCATTTCAGCTGGGCCAGAGCACAGAGAACATATAAAGTTTTGTAATCATCTTTATGCCTGTTATGAAGATAGTGGATGTGACAGCAAGATGCACTTACCTGCTGCTGGGTGTGCAGCATGCTGGTGAAAACCCCGTGAGAAATAGCTTTTAATTCCATGGACTGCTCTCTTGCCTTCCAGACAACTCCAAGACACGGCTGCAGCAAACCCACATTCTGCATGTGGGCAAATGCCTTGGCAGCAAATCTACCGTTTAAATTCTCCTTCCTGATTCCCTCAGGGGGAGGAGGCAAAGAAGGGCAGAGAAGTAAAAGCAGTCATTGGAAACTCTGCCCCTCCAGAGACCGTGCCCGGTGTGAGCATGGAAAGGCTGTGTGTGTTCTGTTCTTTTGAGGATTGTTCTTGACCACCATTTCCTTTCTCCTGCCAGAAAACCCCGAGCGGGCTGCTCTGTATTTTGTCTCCGGAGTGTGCATTGGACTTGTCCTGACCCTGCTGGCCCTGGTGCTCAGGGTGTCCTGCCGGACGGACTGCAAACGCTCCTCCTCCAAAAAGCCTCCTCGGGAGCGGGAGAGCGACAGCGACAGCAGTGACAGCGACGACGATTCGGACACCACCTCGGACCTGTCTGCCCGCAGGCACCGCAGGTTCGAGAGGACTTTGAACATGAACGTCTTCACTTCGGCGGAGGAGCTGGAGCGGGCACAGCGGCTGGAGGAGCGGGAGCGCATCATCCGGGAGATCTGGATGAACGGCCAGCCCGACATCCCAGGGACCAGGAGTCTCAACCGCTACTACTAAAGTGATTGGGAGTCCAACTGTCCTGCCCTACGCCCTGGGGCTGCTCCACACCGGATAGAGGAGGGGGGGGTGGAATATTTTGTGGGTGTCTCCCCTTTTCCTATCAGGTGTGCCACCTGGAGTGGTGTGGATGGACAGCAATAAAGCTTTCCCCATCTCCTTCTCCCTGACATGTTGCTATCACCCCTCTTCACAGACACTTTCTGGTTTCAACAGAGGTGGTTGCCAACTTCATTTCTTAGTAGCAGGCAGGAAGGTGACAATTACAGTCCTCCCACATGGGATATGGTGTTCAGCACGCTGCAATATGAGTACTTCTCTCTTGGCTGAGGAGAGAAGTCTCCCAGGAGTTGGTTTTCATGTAGGATTTTTTGGTTTCCCTTTCCTGAGGACTGTGGGAGCACTATGAACAAAATGACAAATCTGGAAAGATGATTTGAGGGGGGAGGGGGAAGTGCATCCTGACGGATTGTCTTGTGACTTCAGAAGCCATGAGATTACCCTGATTAAAACCCAACAGCAAATAGGACTTGTTAAGAACTGCGGGGTGGGGGGGAGGGGGATTCTTCCATCGTGAAATCATCTCGGTGCTTGGATGTTCGCCATAGTGTATTCAGTTATTTATGGCTGTCTTTTCATCTTCCTTTTCAATGGGAACATTTAGTTTTTTTACTGACACCTCAGGGATAAAATCCTATTATTTTTTTGAGTCTGTTCTCCCTGCTGGCCCCTGTCAAACACAACCCAATCCACCTCCAACAGTGAAATTATGGTAATATAAGAGATGTGTCAGTGACTGGTGAGAAGTTAACAACCTCAAAGAGGTTGAAAAAGGTTTTCTTTTTGTTTTGTTTTAAATATATATATATATATATTTGAAGATGCTGCACAGGAATGTGCCTTATTCTTTTTGTTGTTGTTGTTAAACTACAGTTTTCCTATGGATAGCAATGCACAATGTTTTATATATTTTATTAAAAAAAAATAAAAATAAAAGGTCTGTGTTTACCAGAGGAAAAATCAAGACAGAAGAAGTAACATATGACAACAAAATGGGTAATAAATGCTAAATAAACTCTGGTTTGCTTCAATGGGTTTGAATTTGCATCCTCGGTTTTAGCACAAGTGTTGCTTGAGGGAGATGCTTTAAAAGAGCAGCACACCTCTGCAAGCAATCAAGTCTGATGTTTTCTGCATGCTGGAAACTGAAGGCACTTTTTTTCTTTGGCTACAGCCCATCAGTCCACTTCTGTGGTGTACATGGGCAGGAGCAGCTGAGCAGTGTGGTGGTTCTCAAGGGGCCACCCTAAAGCCTACCTATCCCCAAGACTCAAGTCATAGCTGGGCCAGAAGCAAATGCTAAACAAACCAAAAAAAAAAACATATGCAAGAAAAGGTGCAATGTTTTAGTGCTTCTTCAGTTGTCCCATGGAGTATTCCATGGGATATCACCACTGTGCTCACTCCCAAGTGCCAGTTCACATCACTTCAGTCACAGAACTTGCTGTTTTTAACATCTGTGTGACACTGCTGTCCCCTGCATGACTTTGGGTTTGCTCCTCTCTCTTAAATAGGCATGTTAAGGGTTATATTAACATATATATATTAGGGGTTCACCAAATGCTGACAGTGCAAATAAACATGAAAAGCTCTGACTACCCACAGCTTTCCCTGAGTCTTTAGGAGATCTTAGCACAAGATAACTGAGGATGTTTGAGTGGGGCTGTAAGGGTTCATGTGCTGTGACAAACAGCTGCATGGTGGGACTGTTCCCTGGCACCAGGGGCCTTCTTGGCGCTCTTTGGGATCACCATGGGGCTCTTTCCCCGGCTAAGGAAAGCTGCATCTGAAGTGCCCACAACTACTACTTCTGGCTCTTGCAGGATGAGAGCAAAGTTGAGTAACTGCAGCTGGTCATACTGGCTGATGAGAGGTGGCTTCACTTGGGAAGGCAATTCTAGCACTGCAGGGCAATTCTGGGTCCTGGTTCCATGAAGATTCAAATGGAAATACTCAGTATTGAACTGGAATGTAATTTTGCAGCTAATATTTAGAAATAAAGCAGGAGGCAGGTCCCAAGCCCTTGATTCCCATCGCCAGGTGCTTTAGCTGGAATGTTGATTGTACTCTGCTGAAGGTGTTGAGGAGCAAAATGATGGGGTGAGGTCAGAGGGATCAGTTTTGTTGGCCATGTGTTTTCCCCTATAACCGTACAGTCCCTTAGCCTTGGCGACTAAAGAACAGCATATTTAGAGATTTAGAGTGCTGTGTCCTGGGAGATAGCTTGCAAAACTGATTTTAAAAATGTTATAAATGAATGGATTTATGGGTATGATTTTCCCAAAGGATTTTTTTTTGACCAGAGGAAAGAGCAACAGTGGTAAATCTGAGTATACCTGATATGTATCTGAGGGATTAAAATATCTGATTTAAATGTAAATCACAACAGAACTTGAGTTACAAATGGATGAGCAGTTCTCCCTTAGCATTGCTAGTGCTGCTGTAAATCTTCCAGATGAAGTCTGCAGTACAAAGGAGCAGAGTTGAGCAGACAAGCCCATCCCAAGCTTGCCCTAGGTAAGAAGATGTAACACAAGTAGTCTCACTGCCTTCATAGCACGTGCAATACCTTCATGTACCTTCTGGCTCCTGTTTTTGTTCTCAGGGAGGTACATTTCTAAGAAGACAGAAGAAAAAAGAAAAAGTGCAATCCTTTGAGCAAAATAAAAAGACTTTAAGTAATTCTGTAGCTATTTCTGGATTTGTCCCAAAAGTGCTGAATAGTTTATCTGGGGGACAAGACACAGTCAAAATTTGTGGGGCAGGAGTTGGTGGTTTGCCTTTAGATCTATCAGTGGAGCAAAATCAGTCACCTAGAGTATAGAAGAGCTGGGTTCACTGGGGGCAGGGTCAAATCTGTATTTGTTACCCCACAAAAAAAGTATCTTAAGTTTACAGAGGTTTGGACCTGTCTAGTTTCTGTCTTTTATATTGTACTCACCGTGTCATATGAAGTATTAAAGCACTCGTAGAGCTAGAGAGCAGAGAATAAATGCTTTTCTATCAACCTAATGTGAATCTCTCTTGTAGGAGATTATGCATAGCTCTTCTCTCTTACTTCCATGCTTATTTAACTTTTTACAGTAAAGTGAAATAATATTTCCAGAATAATACTATTCAAATTCCCTGAGACAGATAAAGAGTTGAAATAAATTTGTCCTGTTTCATGAATGAATTTCTTAATCAGTGACCTTTTGGATAGAAAGAAGCTGAGGTAATTTTCCATGTGAATCTGTTCTTTATGCCTCAGTTTAAGTTTAGAATTTTATAACTGAGGATAACAGAATGATCCTAGACTCTGAGTTGTTCCGCCATTTGATAAAAGGGGGAAGCACATGACACTGTATTTAAAAGAGTCAGCATTGTGTTTGCCATGTACCATCAGCTGGGCTGCAGGTTTGGGGCAGATGAGCCTTGAGAAGTAAAATGCCTGTGCTGGATACTTTCTCACCTCTACAAGTTACAGGATTAGTGGCCACAGAATTGTGCAGTTTCGTAGCTTGTACCATGTTGGCTTTGGAAATGAATGTGGTGGGTTGGAAATTACAGTTCATCCTCCTGGGAGAAGCCAAACACATGGGAGTGATGGGTCAGGCTTTCAAAGCATCTACTGGATGTTCATTATCCTCCTGTCTGGTGGGACAGATGGGGCTAGTTACAGAGGAAGTCACAGCTGTGCGTGGAGAGATGGCAGAGAGGAAGGTTATTCCAGTCAGATACTCACTCTGCTCTCCTACTCACTCCCCACTACCCCTGACTTCTCAGGGCTGATTTCCCCTCCCACTATCATTTGGCCCATCAGCACTGACCTCTTTTGCAGACCTGTGTTCAATGTACCCTGAAAATCTCAGTAATATGGTGTTTGCTGCCTTTCCCATGTCCACCCCAGTGTTCATATCCTCGATGAATTCCAGCTGGTTAATGAGGCATGGCTTTCCTTTCCAGAAACCTCAGTGCCACTACTTAACCCCTTGCCTGCCATCTTTCCCAGCACCCCAGGGGCTACGCAAATAAAATGAGCTCTCTGAGCTGCTGTACTGCCAGGATATACAGCATATGCCCGTGGTGCTGCAGGGAATCTGAATTTCCTTTTGTGCTGCGTGGAGTGTCTTGAGTTTCTGGAGGTGTCACAAGCAATTAATCATCTTAGGCTGGCCCAGAAATCCTTCTGCTCAGAATCATTACGGAGGTCTTCATCACAGTGAAGTTTTAATAATGCAGTCTGAGGTTCTAGTGTCCTTAGATACCCCCAAAAAATAATTCTTGGTGGATTTTGCTTTTTCTTGTCCACTCATTAGAATTGGTGCAGCTTGCCCCTTCACGTAATTTCCTCCCTTTTTGTCCATTAGTCCATTTTTGTGGTTGTCTCAATGACTATCAGTTAAACAGAGTGAATCAAAAAGGCAGTAATGGTTTTGGTTCCTCACATGGCAGCTCACTTTTGTGTTGCACCATGTGTGCATTGCTACACCCCTGGTCTGAAGGTCTTCATTCACTCTGAGTGGATGTGGTGGTTTAGGAATATTTAAGCAAATCAGTTGCTTTGGGGGTTTTTAGTTACTCACCACTGAATGGATCCGTGACAGTGACAGTGATGCAATGTCAGCATTTGGAGTATTGCACCAGGAAGCCCTGGGGCACTGGTGTGATGTCACTGGGATTTACATGTGGGCTGACCCCTGACCATGAAAGGTGCTTGGAGGTGTATGTGCCATGGATGCTCTGGGAGGTGTGTTTTGGTGGACGCTTGCTCATATCATCAAAGCCTACCAGTTCCCATGTGGACCTCTCTGGAAGGATATGTGACTTTGTCCTCAAGGCTAGAAGAGTGCAACTGGCTCATGATTTCCCTTGGGAAGTATCTGCTTGCTGAAGGGAGGAATAGATACATTCCTTGTTTGAGTACCTGGAAATTTGGACAGAACTACTCCAGAGTCAGGTTTGATGGGTGTCAACGCTGATTCTCTTTTCCCTCTGTCTGTTTACTGGTGGATAGCTCCAGAAGGTCCCCAGGAGAGGAGGTCCTGCACCAACATGCTCAACACTGAGCTTCTGATCAGACCCCTTGACAGGTCGGGAATGGGGGACAGGGGATTCCTGCTGCCAGACCCGTAATCACCGAACGGGGTTTCCTGGCACTGAAGCTTCAACAAGAGCCAGGGGAATGGAGACACGTTCTGGTGGCAAAAGGCTGTTGACGTAGTACTGGGGTGCTGTGGTTATGGACAGGCACCTGGGATATTCATCGCTACTACTGCTACAACCTGCCAAAAAGGGCAAGATTTACTGACCTGCTCTTCTAGAACCAGTTCCCGAGGGACAGTCTGATTTTTCAGTGCTGGAGAAAACACTAATTTGGGGTATAAATTACCTACCTGTATGCATTTGTCAGTGATGGCTTCACAGTGCATTTGTGCACTTGCAAACACGTGGTTGCTTCCCAAACCACTCAGGTGTTTTGTTACAACTGCTGTC